AATGAATAATTAAAAGAAATATTTAAATAATAAAAGGATTAATAGATAAATATTTAACCAAAAACTAAAATATGAAATACAGATAAGAAATGAAAGAAATCTTAAAAAGAAAACATAATATCATAAATGACATCATAATAATAATGAAAATTACAGAAAAGAAAAAAAACTAAGAAAGACATAGAAATAATTGATGAAAAAGTAAAAAATTACAGAAAACACAAAATTAATTAGTAAATCTTAGAATTTACAGAAATAGAAAGTTAAGATTTATAAAATGATCTACATTAATTTTATATAAATAGAATAAAATTTTCTCTATATAAAATGTAAAGGAAAAGAAAAAAACTCTTTCTTTCAATCTAACAATCTACCAAAAATGCTAAGAAAAAATAAAAGAAAGAACTCCAATCGTGATCGCTCTATATCACCAGTTACTGATAAATAACTAACAAAGAAATAAAATATAATCCAAACTTTAGATAAAGATCTTACTATAGAATATTCAAATGTATCTATTACACCTGTCATTTCAAAAGACATTAGCATGATAAAAGTTGATCAAGTCAAGAAAAGTTTAACTAATAACCTTGATAAAGGGAAAAATCCTAAAATTATTACTTCAACATCAGAAATAACTACGTCAAAAAATTAACTATAAGTGACGATGAGTCCTTTGAAATATCAAAAAATATTTTAGAAACTTCGACCCTTGGCTTTGAAACACCCTCAACTCAGTTTATCAAATTTTTGCGTATATTCTAATAGAAAAATTTCCTAGACTGAACCTCTAAATGAAGATCTCAAAAATTACTGATCTGTACTATAATAAATACAACTCATTTATTAATACTACAAGAGAAAAATACTCTGTAAATCAAATCTAAACAATTATCAAAGTTGCTTTTGTAGACAAATCTGAATGTGATACTTTCTGTAACTTCAAATTTTTGATATGTATAACATTACATTTCAACTATTAGACATAAAAAAATCTACCCTTTACATAACTGATCGGTTGATCATAGTTATAAAAATTCTCCTAGACGCTACAAAAACTAGATTAAACAAATTATTTTCTAGATTTAGAAATATCATCTATTTCACTATAGAAATTAAAATCTTTGGCAAAGAGTTATGATTATTTTTGATGAGAAAACTAACTTTAAAGAACTAAAAAAAGAAGACGAATTTATCTTTTAATGATATGATCTGTTACTATTCTTGCAGTCTCTTCAGAACTGATATTTAAACTTGCTCTGCATTTTCAGCTAAGCTAACTAACTTTCCTCATAATATTACATCACATGACCTTCAAGACATTATAAATATAGTCTCTATTACTACTTAGATCATTCCCAGAGCTCACTCAAACTACAATTATTTACAGTATGCATTTTTCTATTTTCTCAACAAAGAAGATACTTAGGCTGCTATGAATATCAAGAATTTAACTTTGAACAACAAAAAACTTGAGTAGATTGTCTCAAAAGTTAAACTTTACACTATTTGTTCATCAATACATTATAACGCTTCTTCTTATCCTAAGCGTTGTCAGACTATAATATGCAAAATCTGTATCAGAGATTCCAACTTGCTCAATTTAACAATTATACTACATCTAAACATAGTCTTATAAGAGGCATCGTTTATGATAATATTACTTTTGCTTATATGACTAAGACCCTGCAACAAACTAGCAATTCTTAAGAAATTCTTAAGAGAAGACCTTTTTCACTTCCACTACCTAAGTTTACTGTTAAAATATCTTTTTTTAATTTCTTCTTTATTAAACTAAAATTGTATAAGCAAATAACTTCATAGATGATTTTATGAAAACTAAAGTTCTTTCTACTCCAAAACTAAATAATGGTATTGCAAAAGGTAGCTTAATCTATAATCCAAACTTTAAACAATTTGTCACTTTTTAACTTACTTCTATTTCTAACATGCTCACTAATTTTTGTGTTGAATTTAAGTTTTTGTCACTTCTTAACTTACTTCTATTTCTAATATGCTCACTAATTTTTGTGTGAATTTAAGTTTTCATAATAACGTTTAACTATTGTTGAAAAAGTCCTTTACATTAAAATTATCACTTCTGCTAAAGCAAAGGAATTTAACAACAACTTACCAGAATCTGCTACTGAAGTAGACCAAAATTCCCACACATTAATACTGATTTTTGCTCAGCTTATTTACAAAAATAAACAAATGAACAACTAGTCCTTATTTATCAGAAATAACAACAATGCATATTGAAATTTACTCCTATACTCAATAAGCTACTTAAGTCTTGTTACAACTTCTAAACCACTTTTCTCAACAAAAATATTCTTAACAAACATGATACACAAATTTTTGAACCCTTAACTGAAGACCTTGACAAAGTAATAAATGCTGTATTGGTAGCTTCAAACAATAATTATTATTACATTACTATCATGATTACTATTATTATAATAAATAATACAAGTATTCCTAGTTCTTACACTCATTCCTTTCTAATCTTAGAATTATAACACACAATATCCGTTCTTTCAATGACCTTACAAAACAAAATTACCTTTTTTCCTTATATTCAATTAATCAGTTTGACATTATAAATTTATAGAAAACTAACTTTAAGGGAATTACCTTCATTTTCAATCATGATTTCCCTAATTATACCACTTTTTTTAGCAATAACCAAAACTCCCATCCAACTAAAACTGATGGCAGCCTTTCTTTTAACCCTTGTATTGCTAAACACATTTTTGCTTATGATTCTAAATTTGATAGAATTATTTCTGCAAAACTTCAATTTGCAAATAAATAAAATTACTAGTTGTTAATTGTTACCTTCCACCTGCTAACCCTCCAACCAAAATTATAAAACAATCAATTGCCTTTTTAAAACAATTATTAAATAACGCTATCAAAAATGAGTTTTATGTCATTCTCATCAGAGATTTAAATGCAGACATAGATCATTCTAACAACTCCCCTTTCAATTTAAATTTTATAAATTCTTTCAATCATTACGATTTGTATAATGCTTTTAATGTCTATTTTAAAAAAAATAAAACTTTATATCTGTCTTTCATCAATAAAATATTTTCATCTAGAATTGACTACATTTTTATGATATCTGAATTAGCGCTCAATATTCTTGACTGTAAAACTATTCAAATAGACTTTTCTGTCTCTAACCACTATATTATCTCAATCAAAATACTCAATTTCTTAAAATATTCTGTGTTTACAAGGAAAAGTCCAGTTAAATCTTCTTTCAATTATAATTTAATAGATGATTCCAAATGGTCTAAATTTAAAGACAAATTTGACAATAAGATAAATTCTAACTCGTTGAGACACATTTTACATAATACAATCTGATCACAAATTCTTCTTAACTCATCTTGAAATCTCTTTCAAAATTTTCTCATTAAGTTTTTTTTTTATATTTTGTTTCTTTTTTTTTAAGTTTTTTGTATAACTGTATGTTAAAAGTAAATTAAGAAAGAAAAGTAGTGTTAAAGAAAATTTTTAATACTTTATCGATCTTTTTATTTTAGCATACTAAATAAGTTAAATTTTGTATCATAAAGGAAATTTGATCAATGAACGCTATAAATGTAAACTTTAATTTATTTTTTTAATTTAATTAACGTAAATTAAAAATTTTTTTTTTATATAAATACAATGGAACCTTTAAATTTTTTTTCCTTTTGCTATTTTTAATTTATTTCAATTTATGATTATTTATGAAAATATGGACTATACAAATTTTTTAGTAATGTTGAAATTCTGTAATTTTAATGGATTGTATAATATTAATTATAATATTATATCAAATATATTGTAATTCTAATGGATTGCTTTATAATAATCCTTTTTATTTGAAAGAAATTTTCAGTTTTAAATAATATAATTTAGCTTTACATAAATAAAAATTTTTGTAATAATAAAATTTTATTAAGATTAATTTTAAATTTATAAATCATGATCTATGATTAGTATTTATGTTAGATTAATATTAGCATTAGATTTCCATTGTTATTTAATGTTTCCTTTCTTAGTTAATGTAAATTACTTTTTTTCAAATTTGATCATTTACCTGATCCTATATATTGTTAATTCTTTTTATAATGCTTATTGTTTATTTTATTTTCAAATAAACCTATTTTTATGTTTTTATATCAATTATTATATCTAGTATTAATCTAATTATTTTATCAGATAATTCAGATATTAAAGTCATATCTGATGAAGAAACTATATTGATTGAAGATTTTCTTAATAAACAAATTTTGTTGCTATCTTTTTATAGTTAAAGAATAATTTTTAAAGTCAAATTTTTTGAAATCTATTTTTAATTTTATTAGAATATTAATGAAGAAAAAGACCAGTAGCCTTTTTTACAAAATATCTTTTTGTTTTAAAAATTATTTATTTAGCTTTTCCTATTGAGTATCCAAAAACTTCACTTAATAGGATAGTTACTATTTTTAATATTTCTGGCTGGTTGAATTTGATGTTTTACTTTAATGATGTAAGTATTTTTTATTAATTAATAAGAATTTAATTTTAATTATTTTGATTATAATTTTATTTATTTTTATTAGATTCAATATTTTATTAATGGATTAGAAGGATTTAATCATATTTTAAATTGTTCTTTTTTAGAGTATCAGTAAAAAAAAATAAATAAAATTACTTAGAAATTAAGTATTATTTTTTTATTGATCCAGATTTTATTAAAAAATAACATAACGAAATTGATTTAGAATCTGAAATTTTTATTAAATTTAATCAATAAAAAAATAATATAAAAACTAAAACTTATATGTAAATTTATCATTATTTCTTATTTAAATAATTTATATTTTATTTTATTTATAATTAACTATTTTTTTAATAAATTTAGATTCTTTCTTACAGCTCAATCAACAGCTTGTAAATATAAAATAATAATAAATCTTATAATGGTAAAGTAAAATTAAGAAGAATTATTAGAAATGAAGGTAAAGATGAAGAATATTTTATTGGATATGATAAATGGATTAAAGGAAAAAGGTTTCATCATTATATTAATATTCTAAAGGAGATTGATTTAGAATTATTGCAAAATATTTTTCAAGAATGAAATGTATTATTTTATATATTTTATATTATTTATATTAATTTATAATTTATAAAATATTAATATTGATTTAAATTTAGATTAATGAGAATAATAATAATGAAAATCAATATTGTATTTTAATTTCACATTCTTCAAAAGCAAAATTATGTAATAAATATAATTATCAATTATTTAATATAATTATTATATATTATAAATGTTTTAACAAATTTTTTTAAATTTTTTAATTATTAAGATTATTTACATACTCATAATAGAGAAGTCATATATAGAACTATAATTTAATAAAAACGCAATATTAAATTTATAAAATTTATTTCATATGATTTGATTGAATATCCTTATATTGCATTAGTATGCATAGGCACACATAATCACCCACCACCACCACCTAAATGAACATTATCAGGTGTTAAAGATGGATTACAATCTATAATTCAAAATATTATTACTTTAGATAATAGTGTAATGCTATATTTAATTATAACAGGTAAGTTTTAAATATATTAATTAATATAAATTATAACTATATAATTAATTTATTATATTTATTTTATAGGAAATAGTATTAAAGCAACTTTTGATAAAGATGTATTAACAGAGATATATGCATCTTTAAATAATATTAACTAGTTGTAAAATATTATAAGAATATGTATTCTTATGGTCAAGAAAATTTAGGAGTATTATATAGTATTCAATATAAAAATTTGATATGCATAATTATATGCATTATATTCGTAAGTATTTACCTTAGATTTAATAAAATTTTTGCATAATAATAAGAATTAATTATTTAATTTTAATTTTAATTTTAATTAAAGCAAATTGAAAATAGTCAAATGTTAATAATATATACTTGATTTTCAAGTAAAAGAATTGCAAAAATTAAAATGTTTTTAAATTGATTTGACTTTTAAAAGAGTATATGGTGATATTAATGAATTTGAAGTAAATACTTATGACAATATACATAATTTGAGTAAATATTTTAATTTTAAATGTTACAATTATTTTTTTTATAAAAAATTAACTTTTATTAGTTTATTTTTATTATCATATTTATACTAATATTTTTACAGCTAATGCATATTAACAATTATTTATCCAATTTTTTGAAGTGATAAAAAGTTTAAGTAGAACACCTGTGAAATTTTATCATATTGATAAATCAGATTATAAATGTATTCTTGCAGATCTTAATGTAGGGCAAGCAAAAGGATTGGATTTAGCCTTAATGAAAAGAGATCCTAGTAAAGATTGAGAATCATATTTAATATATATTTTTAAATTATGATTAGTTTATTTTACTCAGTGTTAACCTTTTGCTCAGCCTATCAAACTTAGGATAATAATAACTTAATAACAGAAAGTAACATGCGAGAAACTACTAAGTTACTGTGAAATAAGTTCTATCACAATCAATCTTAGATTTATATTTTAGATGAGAAAATAACTTTAATAATTTGTAAACACAATAAACATTATTGACATACTGAAGAATTTAATATGTGTAGTTTTAAAAAAAGATTCCTTTATTGTAGAGATTTATATCCTTAGCAATCCTTAACCTTGGATTCTAAGTCTTAAACTCAAACTATTGAGTTTATATTGTTATTTCTACCTTTTGCAAGGATAAACTTCTATTCTATTTATACAAAATTACAATTATAAGAAATTACTATCTAATGCTAAACTATTTTATAATACTAAGATAAATATAAAAGATAAATTATAATTTAATAATAATAATAATATAATAAATAATAATAATAAAATATAAGAATAAAATAAATAAAATAAAAATGTTAACTAAGTTAAAAGTATTAATGATATTAATAATATTGATCATTCATCAATTTTTGTGACATAGTAATATTGATTTCATATAGTATTATTGGTAAATTTTAAAATTTTAATTTATTAAATTTATTAAATTTATTACTAATATTGCATTTTTACTTTTAGAGTTTAATGGCTAAAAAATTTAACCATATGGTTCATTAGTTAGCATTATCAATTTCATGTACTATATTTTAAGTGCTAAAGAAGTTTATAATTGTCTTAAAAAATTAGAAACTTATAATTATGATCATATAATAGGTAATTATTTATTTTTTTTAGATTTATTTTAATTTTTAAAATTTAATAATAAGTTTTATTATTAATTTGATAGATTAGGTCATATTATCAATAACCTTATATTTTAACATTATTAAATAAACATGTTTCAAATATGGAAAATAAAATTTGGGAATATCATACAAATAATACAAATATTGCTGAAGCAGCATATGCTTAAGCTAATCAGGAAGGAAAATAATTAAAACTTTTAACAATAATCTTGCAGTAATTTTTTATTTTTAAGTTTAAATTTATTTTTTAAATTTTTGATTTTTAAATTCTTTAATTATAATTTAAGGGTAAGCATTTAGATAAAAGAATTTTTAAGATAATAGAAACTCATGATAAATATGATGTATCTTATACTAGAAGAGATAAAAGTGAAATTAAAAGACAAATAAGAGCTATAACATGAAAAAGTAATATTAATATTTAATGAGTAATAAATAATGATTTATTTATTAATTTATTATTTACTTATAATTCATATAAATTTAATAGGTGGAAAATAAAAGAAATATTTAAAGAAACAAAAAATAAGCCTTTATTTTCAAAATCTAATATTTTATGATTTATTAATTTATATTTAATTTTTTAACTATAATTGAAAAAGCTCTAATACAAGATATAAGTAATCAAGAAAAATTAGAAAAAGGTGGTAAAATGAAAGGTTGCAATAAGCAGAAATATAAAAATTAAAAAAAGTATGGTTAATGTGATTGAAATTAATAGTGATCAAGAAAATTAAGATCAGATATTATGTTAAACATTAAAATTAAAGAACAAAAGATATAACTAATTGAAAGGTGAACCGTAAATTGTAAACTTTAAACTAAAATTGAAAAATTAGAATTAGAAAAGATAAATTATGTAAAGAACTCAATCTCTAATATATGTCTATTTTATATCAAATATGGTTAATAAATAAATATTGTTTATTTAAAATTGGTAACAATAATTTTAATAAATAATGATTATAATATACTGTATTTGTAACACAATTTAAACATTAATAAATAAATATAATTGAATAAATAATAATTATAACTTTACGTATAATTAATTTAATATTAATATTTTAAATTATATTATATTTTTTCAAAGTACGCATAACTGTACATGTATAGTAATTTTTTATACATATATAGCAATTTTTCCATACATATATAGCATTTTTTTAGCAATTTTTTCATATATGTATAATAATTTATTATATACATGTATGATTACTAAAAATGTATATATACCATATATGCAAAAAAATTAATCATACAATATATATTTAGCCAACTATATAATACATGTTTTGTAATACAATACTCCCTTCTCCTGAATCTTTTACTTTAAAATGGTTAAAATTTCAACTTAGATGATTTAAATTTAAATGGTAAGTGCAAAATTCTTCTTTTTTTTGTCTTGAAAATGTTACTAACTTTCATATTACTTTTTTTCTTTAGGAACACCTTCCTGAACCTAGATTTTAACTTGAACTATAAGGTAAGTAGTATAGGAGATTATTTTTGTTTCTTCTTTATCTTTAAAATGCCATTAATATTTTTTTTGCTTCTTTTTTTTAAGAAATATCTTCCTGAACTGTGAATTTAACTTGAATTATTATAAAAAAAATAGATAAATTTCCTTTTTTTTGATTTAAGAATAATATTATTAATATTTCTTTGGTTTTAACATAAAATTTACAAAATTTTAAAAGGCTAATTAAAAAAAAATAGATCCATTTTTGTAAAATAAATAATAATAACTTAATTAAAATATTCTATAAAATTTCTATATAAAGTTTTTATTTTATTTAACTGTAAAAAGATTGGATATTTTATAAAAATATTTGTTATACATACACCTTTTTTTGATTTTATACATGCTTTTTTTTTACACACGTTCTCTTTTTTTTTAATTAATTTCTTTTTTTGTAAAAAGTTTTTATATTTTTATAATAAATTTTAATAAATTTCTAAACATATATTTAATTTCTATTGAAAATAATCAAAATAATTCAAATAAAATTCAAAAAAAGAGGAGGGTCATAAGAAAGAAGTTGAGTATAGGATTGGTTTGTATTTAATGATGGAATTGCCATATGTCAAATAGAGGTTATCACAAGTGAAATATGTGATAAAAAATATCAGTATAGAAGTTTAACAGGCATTTTTATAGACCATTTAAGTAGTAAGTATCAAATAATTAAAAAAACAATTAAGCAAAACTACAGACCCCTGCCAAAAGTCTCTGAACGCTTTTTGGCTCAATATAAAACTTAAATTTTTTAAGTTTAATTAAAAAATATTTATTAAT